CCCATGTGGGGAATCGAGCCCGGGTCTTCGGCGTGACGAGCCAACGCTTTAACCACTAGGCTACCCCATCGCCCCCCAAAGAACCTAAAGAACAATCTGAAATATCTCACTGAATGTGTTTCAACATAAATATGAAACAACCAGGCTTTTCCACTCAAAAAAATGTAAAAATAGGAATACATGTTACCCTAAATGGGATCACAAGATTCTTTTTCATTCCAATGGTCAAAATGTCACAGAATGCCAGATTAAAGAAAGTAATTGGAAAGAATTGTTGGTCCTTAACTTCTACTGAGTAGTGTAGAGTGCATGGCCTGGTTGTGACACAAATGCGTGAAATCAAATATTTAAAGCAGGAATTATATACTGAAAGGCAAAAGAAACGTCGTATTTTTGAGATTATGGATTTGGTATCAATGATGTTTTTTTGATTAACTAGTTGTCACTTGATGACTGAAAACAACATTTAAAAAAACATGATCCGAAGACTAAATGATAAGTTTGTACAACACATCAACTTAGACTGTAGACGTCGTGCTCTGGGACCAGTGCTAACGCAATGTCACCGCCGCGAAGTCTACACTGGGCACAACAGCGACAACACTGCATTAGAGAACTGTTAGTGGAGAACTGTTATCTTCTCCGATGAAAGTCGCTATTGCGTATCTGTGGCTGATGGGAGGACTAGGGTCTGGCGTCGCAGAGGAGAACGCTTCAATGATGAGTGTGTGATGGAGAAAAACGCTTGGGGTGGTCAGAGCATTATGGTTTGGGGTGGAATAGGACTTAACCAGAAAATCGGGCCTGTAATCTTCCAGAATCTCGGTCCAGGGAGAAGGAATGGTGTGACAGCTGCCCGGTACATCGACCGAGTCCTACGACCCCATGTTGTGCCGTTTTTTGGACGTCACCGGCGTCACGTTTTCCAGCAGGACAATGTGCGTGCACATACCGCCAGACTCACTGGAGCATTTCTGCAGCAGCATAATGTTGAAACCATGCCTTGGCCAGCCCTGAGCCCGGACCTCAACCCAATAAAGCATTTGTGGGATGAGATCCAAAGACTCCTCAATGACATTAGACCAAGGCCGACTACTGCGGGCCAACTACGCACAGCGCTCCTGAGGGTGTGGGCTCGGATTCCTATGGCCTATGTGCATCGCCTCGTGCACTCGATGATCAGGTGGTGTGCTGCAGTTGTGAATGCAAACGGTGGTCACACCCGATATTGACTTCGGTTCCTTCCAGTGACGTCATCGGTGAATAGGATGTGACAAACACCAAATGTTTTAATAAACAAATGTTTGTCAAAAAACATTCTGTTATCTTTTCATTGTGTCCTTGTTTCTTATAACCATAGTCATCTATTCCACCAGTTACTATCCCATCTACATACGTTTCTTTTGCCTTTCAGTATATATCCACAGTTCTTAAAGGCACAATTTCACACATTTTCGACAATATTTTGGCCTCTATTATATGTATTCGGGCATATGCACTCACTTTAGCTTCCTATTGATGCAATAAAAGACCTATTATCCCTTACAACTTGCCTGAAATCGATAATTGAAACTTCGAGGCGAACAGCTTCCATACAGAGAACACTTGCCATATATGGAATGTAAACAATTGCTCCGTAGAACTGTGGCAACGCAGTGTTGTTTGCTGATCTGGTTTCAGAAGTTGAGCATACGTTTCTCTGGGACTGAGTTCTGTCTCCAAGGAGTTATAAGATATTCGTAAAGAGCGCTCCAAGGGACATAGCTCTATGGGGTTGACTTGAAATAATGTTCGGCCTGTAGAAGGCGCGAAGGTCGATTTAATGTAACGTTGCATTCATTCATTAGAACTTTTTAATTCACTATTGTAATCTAAATACGTAATTTTGGGGGGAATACATTATATGGTAGCTTCCCTGAGGGCTGACAGTTAGTATTACTGAAAGAAATGCATTATTATTTTTAGAGAAGTGTGGTGTGAAATAGTGCCTTTAAACAATGATTAAATATTGAAATCAATATAACCATGCACAAACATATAACTTGACAGACATGAACTTATGTATTTACAATTTTTCTGAATATCTGCTCAAAAGTTGAGTTTTGTGTACAGTTAATTCTGTTTGTGTATAAATACTTCTCTAGAGCTCTGTGCTCTGCTAATACTTGTGCAAAATATTAATATCAGCTGAGAATGTAACCTCAGCACGGGACAGATACAGGTATATACCCCTCTAGAGAGGGCTTCGCTTTATATAAGGGTGCAAGCTATACTAAAAAAAAATATGCATGTTAATGTCACACCAATTATCTAATCTATTAACCAACCGAGTTAGTGAGTTTGGCAAGTTTTAACAGTATATTGTGGTGCCTTTGTAAAAGGCACCATTTATGCCAAGGGACAAACAGTATAAAATTCTCAGTAATCTGCCACATTTGATATTTTAAGCATCACAAACAAGTTTCCCTTCTTGGGTAGTTGGAAACATAATCCAGTTCGTTTTAGGAAAGCGAAATTGTCGATCTCAGCAACAAGGAAACTTTTTTCAAAACAACAGAGGCTTCTTATCTGAGCAGAATAGTAAAACTAGAACATGGAGGTTGTTGTTTTTTCCCTGTTGCATCTCTTTTAGATTCAGTCATATCTAACTCAAATAGGTGTTGAATTACACTAAAACTTTCAGGATTAAATTAAATAGAATTTAAAATGTCTGAGGAATTGCACCTCATATGTTGCTGATTGTCAAAGAACATGTAAAGATTTTAATGTTCCTGAAGAAGTGATCTGCCCTTTATATGAAGAAGTAAAATATAAATTTAGTGATTTAGCCATTCAAAATTTTCTGCCTTACCAACAGTGTTCAAATAAAGAAAAACACTGTGCTATTTCTTAATATCTTCTTGTGTGTTCCAACTCGGAGGAGACATCCGGGCTCACTCACATTACAATTATTTCCCATCATATTTTGTGATATAGGTCATATCGCCTTCAATACAACAAACACCTTGGTATATATACTTGAACATGGTACTATATAATAGTTGTCCACAACATCACCTGGCAGCAGAAAACTGACATATTACCATGACAGAAGCTGAGTACAAACATCAATAATACTATTTAGAAAATACGGAATATATACTACAGGTAAGTTGGATATGTAGGGTTGCAAGCTGGAATTAGGCATTGAATAAATAACCTTAAAGCTCAATATACACACACAATCACTCACAATAGGTGTAATACTATTTGAAATACAGGAATGATGCACAATGAACACAATTCTCAGCAGCAGCTTTTTCAAACTGACCAGATCACCATTTTGATATCCCGTTTGTGATCTGCAGGCAGTGGGTACCCAGTAGGACGAGGTTGTAGTGTGACAGTTAAACATCTAGCATATCATAGCTGGGGTTGTGTACTCCCCAGGGAGTTGAGAATGAATATCGAATGGACACTCATCCACTGACTTGGGTAAATCTAACAGCACTACTGACCATCAGTTTGGATATCATGTGCTTCACAGATGCTCTAATTATTATCATTATTATTATTATGATTACAGAAAGGAATTATCATGAGGTGCAATATTATAATAAGACCACACCTGCACTGCGACCCTGTAAAAACCTTCAAACCCAATGCTGATTATATACCCAGTATACCAAATACTGCAATCTGATTCTCATTTTAGCTTCAACAAACATGCATTATAAATGGTTATATACGGTAAAGAGAAAAAAGTTCCTCTTTAGTTAATATCTGTACAATCTTGACGTCCGTGTAGAACTAATATCAAAACTAGATTTTTAACCCAAATATATGACCCACAAAACTACTGACTAAACTAAAAAAGCAAACACTTCACACACACAGAACTTGTACAGGGATCAGAAACAATTCCATATTCTCACAGCCTAATGTTTTTTCATTGTATATGGAACCTGCTGTGTACAAGATGCCTCATGGATGTTATAAAACATGGCAAATTGATACAAATAGGTTTCCATGGAAGAAAGCATGTTTCTAGGACAGAGATTTATCTTGGATTCCTCAGCAGGCAAAATGGTGAAAAATTGAGATTTAGAATATCAGCATCTGATCATGATATCTCCCTTAGAGATTATTGATTCCTGGAAGGAGGCTACTGAAACATCTGTGGAATTGTTCTGCTTGGGCTTATTTTGGTTTGTCAGCTTTAACTCCCTTCAATCAAACCCTGTATCCTGGGAAACATAGCAAGATGGACTGGATTTCACTCTCACTGTAATCTTAAATACTCATGATATACAACATCACAAAATAACATCGCCAGTTAGAATTAACACAGATTCAACTTTAATATACCTATACTCAACAACAAAAGTTAAGGACCATCCCAATTTTCAATATTCAATATTCAAGTATTCAATAGTTCATATTATGATCCATATAATAGTTAAATATTGAATATTGGGGTGGTCCCTAACTAGTTTTGTTGAGTATATATGCTTATATCATGAATTCATTTACTGCATCCACGTCAAAAAGGCTGAATCAGCGACTTTCTTACTCGTCCAATATTTCAATCAGCAAGAAAACACTCCAGTCAGTGTTACACGACTGATAGTAATGTATTCCAGCTGTATGATGGTAGCCAGCCAATATTTGGTCCTCGCAATAACAAACCAGAGACTGATATTATGAGCAATGATTCTCTCAGCGACCTGCTACCAAGTCACGAAGTCTGACCAACAATTAACTTCATGGCTCTCTCAGTATGTTTTTAACCAGGAACCCTACATTGGGTGTTTCACAAGAGTGAGTGAGTGAGTTTAATTTTTGCTGCACTCAGCAATATTCCAGCTATATGGTGGCGGTCTGTTTCACAAGAGGTCATACGTATTGAGTGAGTGAGTGAGAATGGTTTTAGGCTGCTTTTAGCAATATTCCAGCAATATCACAGCAAGGGACATGAGAAATGGGCTTCAAACATAGTACCCATGCAGGGAAGTGAACCCAGGTCTTCAGCGCGACGAGCGAACGCCTCAACCACTAAGCTAGCCCACCGCCCCCATACTTAATGAGTGAGTCAAGTTGGTAACAGGATTTCAGTGGTATCCGTGCCCTCAACATAGTGCATGAGGGAGGATACCCCTCGCTGATACCCTCAAGCACAGATTTGGTGATGACAAACACAAAAACATAATCAGGGCAAACCCGGAGTCAAACCCACAATCACAGGTTCCTGGCAAACTCAAGGGACGCAACTGTGCACAACATATTACGACACTTCGGACACCTGGGGCACCATGCCCCTGGAGCTTAGTGAAATACCATGTAGTGCTGGGGAACTGGGTTATCAAAATGATAAATGATTTGAACCATACAGATTCTACTCAGTCTTCAGAAAAGTACCAGAGATTATAACTGGTGAGACTATTAGGTAGGAACACTTTTAAAATACCAGACAAAATCTCTGAATATACTGATATTTTTCCATGAAGTCACATTTGTCTAGACCCTGGATCCTGAGACTTAGATGCATCATTTGTGATTTCAAAGTTTACTTTATCAGGTGACCTGTTATTTCTGGGGAGTCCAGAGTCGCCAGGTTCTTCTGTTTTCTTCCCCAGTTCCTCATATCTTCTCTGAATGTGTTATCGTAGGTATGTAAAAGCAAATTTGGCACCAACAATATGACAGTCCACTTCTGCAAAATGATTATTCACATTATGCAACAAAATGGCATATAAAAGAGACTAATTGCATAAAACAGGAATATGTTCTCTCAGTGGGTTGTACTGGCAGTGAAAGATAAGACACAGGTTTATAAGTCCAGGCTGGGAACTTTGGCTGGCAGCTCGGTGGTCTCCACACGCAGTTTGCCCTTGGATTGGATGGCCCCCTGCAAGCAATAAAAGTCAGATTAAATAGACTGACTGACTGACTGACTGAGTTTAGTTTTACGCCGCTTTTAGCAATATTCCAGCAATATCACGGCAGGGGACACCAGAAATGGGCTTAACACATTGTGCCCACAGATTAAATAGAATTTAAAATGTAAAATTGTGCGAAATGGTGAGTATGCAAATGTTGTATATTATAGTCACAATTATTACCTTTTACAATTGTTATATTTGGACACACTTTTTCGGAAAAGATCAGATTCTGGTTCTTTCTGGGGTACTATCCAGGACTCAAACCCACACTCTCAGACTAAGGCACCAAATTGCCAGAACGCAAAGTCAGACCATTACATTTGACCACTTTCTAAATGGCATGGTGTATTCATATAACAAAATCTGGCTTGAGAATTCAGCGAGGTGATGTTGGATTAATTGACTTTGGAGTTATTTGGATTGGACCCTGGGATTTGGCACTGGAAGCAAAACACAAGAGAACGAATGACTTGGGAAGACAGAGTAGACTGGAGATGAAACTGGCGATTAGAGATAGGGTATTGGGGTATAAGAGGCTGAGGCCTGGGACTGGAGATGAGACTGGAGACTGGGTGCCGAAGAATTGAGGACATGGTACTGGGTATGGGAAAGTGTGTTTGGGGTACTTGGAACTGAGATTTGGGACTGGGTACTGAGGACATGGTACTGAGTACTGGAAAGTGGGTTGGGGGTCCTTGGAACTGAGATTTGGCTACTGGGTACTGAGGACATGGTACTGGGTACGAAAAAGTGGGTTTGGGTACTTGGAACTGAGATTTCGGTACTGGGTACTGAGGTTTTCGGTACTCAGTACTGAGGACATGGTACTGGGTACGGGAAAGTGGGTTAGGGGTACTTTGAACTGAGATTTGGGTATTGGGTACTGAGGACTGAGGGCTGGGGACAGCGAAGTGGGTTTGGGGTACTTGGAACTGAGATTTGGGTACTGGGTACTGGGTACAGAGGACATGGTACTGGAAAGTGGGTTGGGAGCACTTGAAACTGAGATGTTGGTACTAGGTATTGGAAGCAGAAGACATGGTTCTGGGTACGGGAAAGTGGGTTTGGGGTACTTGGATCTGAGATTTGGGTACTGGGTACTGAGGACATGGTACTGGGTACTGGTAAGTGGGTTGGGGTACTTAAAACAGACATTTGGGTACTGGGTACTGAGGAAATGGTACTGGGTACAGGAAAGTGGGTTGGGGGTACTTGGAACTGAGATTTGGGTATTGGGTACTGAAGATATGGTACTGGGTACTGGAAAGTGGGTTGGGTGTACTTTGAACTGAGATTTAGGTACGGGTAGTGAGGACATGGTACTGGAAAGTGGGTAGGGGATACTTGGAACTGAGATTTGGGTACTGGGTCCTGAGGACATGGTACTGGGTACATGCAGGAGGAAAAGTTGGTTAGGGTACTTGGAACTGATATTTGGGTACTGGGTCCTGAGGACATGGTACTGGGTACGGGAAAGTTGGTTGGGGGTACATGGAACTGAGATTTGGGTACTGAGGACATGGTACTGAGTATTGGAAAGTGGATTGGGGGTACTTGGAACTGAGATTTGGATACTGGGTACTGAGGACATGGTATTGGATACGGGAAAGTGGGTTGGGGGTACTTGGAACTGAGATTTGGGTACTGGGTACTGAGGACATGGTATTGGATACTGGAAAGTGGGTTGGGGGTACTTGGAACTGAGATTTGGGTAATGGGTACTTAGGACATGGTATTAGGTATGGGAAAGTAGTTGGGAGTACTTGGAACTGAGATTTGGGTACTGGGTACATGGTACTGAGGACATGGTACTGGAAAGTGGGTTGGGAGTACTTGGAACTGAGATGTTGGTACTGGGTACTGGTAAGTGGGTTGGGGTACTTGAAACAGATATTTGGGTACTGGGTACTGAGGACATGGTACTGGGTACAGGAAAGTGGGTTGGGGGGACTTGGAACTGAGATTTGGGTATTGGGTAATGAAGATATGGTACTGGGTACCGGAAACTTGGTTGGGTGTACTTGGAACTAGATTTAGGTACTGGGTACATGAGGACTGAGTACTGGAAAGTGGGTTGGGAGTACTTGGAACTGAGATTTGGGTACTGGGTACTGAGGACATGGTACTGAATACTGGAAAGTGGATTAGGAGGGTACTTGGAACTGAGATTTGGGTACTAGGTACTGAGGACATGGTACTGGGTACTGGAAAGTTGGTTGGGAGTACTTGGAACTGAGATTTAGGTACTGGGTACTTTCAGGACATGGTACTGGTACTGGAAAGTGGGTTGGGGGTACTTGGAACTGAGATTTGGGTACTGGGTACTGAGGACATGGTACTAGTATGGGAAAGTGGGTTGGGAGTACTTGGAACTGAGATTTGGGTACTGGGTACTGAGGACATGGTACTGAATACTGGAAAGTTGGTTGGGGGTACTTGGAACTGAGATTTGGGTACTGGGTACTGAGGACATGGTACTGGGTACTGGAAAGTTGGTTGGGGGTACTTGGAACTGAGATTTGGGTACTGGGTACTGAGGACATGGTATTGAATACTGGAAAGTGGGTTGGGGGTACTTGGAACTAAGATTTGGGTACTGGGTACTGAGGACATGGTATTAGGTATGGGAAAGTAGTTGGGAGTACTTGGAACTGAGATTTGGGTACTGGGTACATGGTACTGAGTACTGGAAAGTGTGTTGGGAGTACTTGGAACTGAGATTTGGGTACTGGGTACTGAGTACATAGTACTGAGTACTGGAAAGTGGGTTGGGAGTACTTGGAACTGAGATTTGGGTACTGGGTACTGAGGACATGGTACTGAATACTGGAAAGTGGGTTGGGGGTACTTGGAACTGAGATTTGGGTACTGGGTACTGAGGACATGGTACTGGGTACTGGAAAGTTGGTTGGGGGTACTTGGAACTGAGATTTGGGTACTGGGTACATGAGGACATGGTACTGGAAAGACATGAACCGGAAACCGTACTAGGTACCGTTGGGGGGAATACTTGGAACTGAGATTTGGGTACTGGGTACTGAGGACATGGTACTGAGTACTGGAAAGTGGGTTGGGGTACTTGGAACTGAGATTTGGGTACTGGGTACTGAGTACATGGTACTGAGTACTGGAAAGTGGGTTGGGAGTACTTTGAACTGAGATTTGGGTACTGGGTACTGAGGACATGGTACTGAGTACTGGAAAGTTGGTTGGGGGTACTTTGAACTGAGATTTGGGTACTGGGTACTGAGGACATGGTACTGGGTACGGGAAAGTTGGTTGGGGGTACATGGAACTGAGATTTGGGTACTGAGGACATGGTACTGAGTATTGGAAAGTGGGTTGGGGGTACTTGGAACTGAGATTTGGGTACTGGGTACTGAGGACATGGTATTGGATACGGGAAAGTGGGTTGGGGGTACTTGGATCTGAGATTTGGCTACTGGGTGCTGAGGACATGGTACTGAGTACTGGAAAGTTGGTAGGGGGTACCTGGAACTGAGATTTAGGTACGGCTACTGAGGACATGGTACTGGGTACGGGAAAGTGGGTTGGGGATACTTGGAACTGAGATTTGGGGCCTGAGTACTGGCGACTGAGGACTGGAGAAATGAGACCTTGCTTGAAGTGACTTGCCCATATGCATACAGAAGAAAGTCTTCCCACATGTACCAAGATGCCACTCACCCTCTGCGTGTGTAGTCTGGTCATTTCTTCCTTCAGTTTGTCGAGAATGGCATTGTTTGGACGGTTTGCTTTCACCTGAGCTTGGAGCTCATTGATATTCATTTCGTCTTTCTGGAAACAGCCAAAGTGGACTGTCAACACCCAAGGCATGTAATGTCAGGGCATTGGATACACAAACATCGGTTTAGTGCCCCCACAGGTAAATCAAGTCAGTCCCAGCAGCAATATTTATATTATACCACTGGTGTTACTCCCAAATTGTACAACAACAAAACAATCTTCCGATGGTTACATCTACATATGTGTACTGATTCCTAATATATATTACCATGATTACCCGGAAAGGATGGTAGCTTTTCAAGGCAAGTCAGAGCTAAGACAAATAATTTCCTCCAGAGTTTGCTCAGATTTGCACAGAACTTTAGCAGCATTTACATTTTTTCTTGGCATGGCTGTATTCACATGTTCAGATTAATGGTTGACAGAAGACATCCTATTCTCCACATTCATGTCTTCTGACCAGCTTACAAAAAGGTTCCCAGAAACATTAGGCAACTCTTACCTTCTCCGCAAAATATTTTTCTGAACATTTTCCGTAAAGTCTCAGTAGAGAACCCCAGCTGGTCACATGGGAATGCAGTTTCTGAAACAGCCAGACATGTTGTTGAAAGAAACGCTTGGTTAACTGGATGCCAAGTTCACTTTTCATTTACGTCTGGGTGTAAAGTGATCATAGCACTTTCTTAGGGTATGAGAGTTACGATCATCGTAGCACTAAGATCGCTTTCTCCACTTAAGTCCTGATGATTTTTTTCAATACCATCATTACATGTGGATTTGGTTTTTAAAGAAAATTAGTATCTGTGTATATACTGAGTATATGCAGGGTAGTATTTTGGGTGGACCCCACCCGTCGTAGAGAAATGGACAAAGTGGAAACCCCAGTTTCAAAATCCTGAATCCACCTCTGAAAAAATGCTGGTTACACACACCTGACATTTATTATACGGTGAAAATAAGAAGTTCACTTTTGTAGTGGTTAGATTTCTTCAATTAAACACCGAGTGAGAAGGGTTTAACAAAGATTACAGCAACTGTACATTGTCTCTAATGTCAGTCAAGTTAATAGGTCTGTAATTACATTCAGCCCAACCTGACAGTGCTACCTAAGATGTGGGGGGAAGGTGACAGTTGCATGTAGAAGGCTGCTATTGAAACAACTGAGTCTATGATCAGGTGGATTAAGTGAGTGAGTGAGTTAGTTTAGTTTAAGCCGCACTCAGCAATATTCCAGCTATATGGCGGCCGTCTGTAAATAATTAAATCTGGACCAGACAATCCAGTGATCAACAGCATGAGCACTGATCTGCGCAATTGGGATACGATGACATGTGTCAACCAAGTCAGCGAGCCTGACCACCCAATCCCGTTAATCGCCTCTTACGACAAGCATGGGTTATGAAGGTACATTCTAACCTGGACCTTCACAGGTTTGTAAATAGTTTAGTGCTATAAACAAATGTAGTAATCTGGCTTAAATACAAGAATAAAGTATATGATAATGAAAATCTCAAAGACAGAAAGGTGCATCATTTCTAGTGTAGGGAATTTTGACCCAAACTGCTCATGACAGGACTATACCTGAAGTATGGCTTGAGCAGCTCTCTGTTTCCCATCTCGTTTATTCTTAGCAATCACCTGCAAAAGATTGCAACAGTATGGATTACACTCAAATACACAAGAACATTCATCAAACTAAAAAAAAACACAAGAATGTTGATCAAACTCCAAGAACACAAGAATGTTGATCAAACTCCAAGCAGTGTCCTATCGCAATATTTCGGTAATGATCAAAGAGCATTCTTAAAATCAAGTAAGCAGGATCCTTCAGAGCTGTGGAAACATGAACATGAAAAAATGATGTTTTCTTGAAACAAGAATGTTTTCTTGAAACAATGATGTTTTCTTTTCCTGCTTTTAAAGTAGGATGTTGAAATACCAAGGCCTATGAGATTTTTCATAAGGCTCACCACAAGAAAACTCTTCGAGATTACTGAGTTAGCCAGTTGAGTTTAACACTGTTTTAAACAGCATTCCAGTTATATCTTGAAAAGAAAAGCCTGAAGTGATGCAGGTTAACCACTCTAGTTTAAGCATGAGCATCGACACATAGCTCGAATATTGCTGAGTTTGGTGTTAACAACAAACAAACCAAAATTCTACCATGACTTCAGTAAATACTGGATTGTGATTGGTTAATCAAAGTCATTCAGAGGTATATAATCACGTTATATACCTCTGATTTTCCAACACACTGTGTATGTTTTTAAATCTTAACGCAGTTATGGTAGGATGGAGATAAACGTATTGCGTTGGAAAATTACTCTAAGCGTTTGGTTTCAAATCAAATTTAGAGCTATTATGATTTTGTTATATACCTCTGAGTTTCCAATGCAGTAAGTTTATCTCCTAAATAATCATGATCATGGCAATGGTGCTGACAAACCTAAAAACCTAACCAGGGCAAATCAAGATTCGAACTCACACAGGTTTCTGTTCTTGCTAAGGGACGCAACTCTGTTCAACACATAGGTCTGCCACCAGGTTATTCATTAATAAGCACACAAACATGGAGACAGAAATGCCTACTGAATGTCTTGCTTCACTTACTGTTGCTGTGTGTTTGCCGACGGTCATGGTGAACTCACTCTTCTGATGCTTGAGTTGCTTCATCTCCATCTCACAGTGGGTCTCACCCAGACCGTAGTTCCTGGAACAGTTACCCAAGTCTTACACACGATAGTTACTGAACTAAATTAAGATGCCTGCTAACCCAGTCATCCCAAGTCTTACAGAGATCAACCCAGTCATCCCAAGTCTTACAGAGATCAACCCAGGCAACCCAAGTCTTACAGAGATCAACCCAGGCAACCCAAGTCTTACAGAGATCAACCCAGTCATCCCAAGTCTTACAGAGATCAACCCAGGCAACCCAAGTCTTACAGAGATCAACCCAGTCATCACAAGGCTTACAGAGACCAACACAGGGAGCCCAAGTCTTACAGAAATCAACCCAGGCAGCCCATGTCTTACAGAGATCAACCCAGTCACTCCAAGTTTTACAGAGATCAACCCAGTCACTCCAAGTCTTACAGAGATCAACCCTGTCACCCCAAGTCTTACAGAGATCAACCCAGTCATCCCAAGTCTTACAGAGATCAACCCTGTCACCCCAAGTCTTACAGAGATCAACCCTGTCAACCCAAGTCTTACAGAGATCAACCCAGTCATCCCAAGTCTTACAGAGATCAACCCAGTCACCCCAAGTCTTACAGAGATCAACCCAGTCACCCCAAGTCTTACAGAGATCAACAGTCACTCCAAGTCTTAGTCACCCAGTCACAGGTCTTACAGAGATCAACCCAGTCACCCCAAGTCTTACAGAGATCAACCCAGTCACCCAGGTCTTACAGAGATCAACCCAGTCACCCCAAGTCTTACAGAGATCAACCCAGTCACCCCAAGTCTTACAGAGATCAACCCAGTCACCCCAAGTCTTACAGAGATCAACCCAGTCATCCCAAGTCTTACAGAGATCCCCAGTCACCCCAAGTCTTACAGAGATCAACCCAGTCACCCCAAGTCTTACAGAGATCAACCCAGTCACCCCAAGTCTTACAGAGATCAACCCAGTCACCCCAAGTCTTGCAGAGATCAACCCAGTCACCCCAAGTCTTACAGAGATCAACCCAGTCACCCCAAAGTCTTACAGAGATCAACCCAGTCACCCCAAGTCTTACAGAGATCAACCCAGTCACCCCAAGTCTTACAGAGATCAACCCAGTCACCCCAAGTCTTACAGAGATCAACCCAGTCACCCCAAGTCTTACAGAGATCAACCCAGTCACCCCAAGTCTTACAGAGATCAACCCAGTCACCCCAAGTCTTACAGAGATCAACCCAGTCACCCCAAGTCTTACAGAGATCAACCCAGTCACCCCAAGTCTTACAGAGATCAACCCAGTCACCCCAAGTCTTACAGAGATCAACCCAGTCACCCCAAGTCTTACAGAGATCAACCCAAGTCACCCCCAAAGTCTTACAGAGATCAACCCAGTCACCCCAAGTCTTACAGAGATCAACCCAGTCACCCCAAGTCTTACAGAGATCAACCCAGTCACCCCAAGTCTTACAGAGATCAACCCAGTCACCCCAAGTCTTACAGAGATCAACCCAGTCACCCCAAGTCTTACAGAGAACAACCCAGTCACCCCAAAGTCTTACAGAGATCAACCCAGTCACCCCAAGTCTTACAGAGATCAACCCAGTCACCCCAAGTCTTACAGAGATCAACCCAGTCACCCCAAGTCTTACAGAGATCAACCCAGTCACCCCCAAGTCTTACAGAGATCAACCCAGTCACCCCAAGTCTTACAGAGATCAACCCAGTCCCCCAAGTCTTAGTCACCCCCAAGTCTTACAGAGATCAACCCAGTCACCCCAAGTCTTACAGAGATCAACCCAGTCACCCCAAGTCTTACAGAGATCAACCCAGTCACCCCAAGTCTTACAGAGATCAACCCAGTCACCCCAAGTCTTACAGAGATCAACCCAGTCACCCCAAGTCTTACAGAGATCAACCCAGTCACCCCAAGTCTTACAGAGATCAACCCAGTCACCCCAAGTCTTACAGAGATCAACCCAGTCACCCCAAGTCTTACAGAGATCAACCCAGTCAAGTCTTACAGAGATCAACCCAGTCACAACCCAGTCACCCCAAGTCTTACAGAGATCAACCCAGTCACCCCAAGTCTTACAGAGATCAACCCAGTCAACCCAAGTCTTACAGAGATCAACCCAGGCAACCCGTGTCTTACAGAGATCAACCCAGGCAACCCAAGTCTTACAGAGATCAACCCAGGCAACCCAAGTCTTACAGAGATCAACCCAGTCACCCCAAGTCTTACAGAGATCAACCCAGGCAACCCAAGTCTTACAGAGATCAACCCAGGCAACCCAAGTCTTACAGAGATCAACCCAGGCAACCCAAGTCTTACAGAGATTAATCCAGGCAACCAAATCCCTACACACGATTGTTACTGAACTAAATTAAGATGCCTGCTAACCCAGTAAACCGAAGTCTTACAGAGATCAACTCAGTCAACCAAATCCCTGCACAAGATAGTTGCTGAACTAATTCAAGATGCCTGTTAGTCCCACAAGGAGATCCCAAGGGAGTGTTAATGAATTTGGTTTAACGCCACCTTGAACAATACTTGAGTTAGGAAGCAGTTTAAAAGCTGGATGTTGGATAAACATTTCAACTCCTAAAGGTTAGGGGTGGGGGTCGACACACATCTGCAAGTTTCTTTCCGACTAAACTAGCTCCGGGATTAATGCAGGGATTGGACATTACTTCAGGTAACACCAGCAATTGTTGAATTATTTATTGCATAGAAGAACAGCATCACCACAGCCTGTTGGGATACAGTTTTGCCCTGAAATCCCCATAATGGCAAGTCGAGTCATCAATATCTGTGAGTGAGTTTGGTTTCACGCCGCTTTTAGCAATATTCCAGTAATATCACAGCAGGGACACCACCAGAAATGGGCTTCACACATTGTAACCATGTGGGGAATCAAACCCGGGTCTTCAGTGTGACAAGCGAACGCTTTAACTACAAGGTTACCCCACCGCCCCCATCAATATCTGTACTGGAACCTTATTGAATATGTTCTGAGAACTACACAAATTAAGTGGTCACATTCCCACATTTGTAGCATAAAATCCAATGAAGAAACAAATACCATGAGCTACCTCTGATCCTCATTCAAGGGCTCTTGGAATCCTTGATGTTTCAGGTACTTGGGTACCCTAAGTCTTTTACATTACGGACCTCTTGAATTTCAAACACAGTGGAACAAGCTTGTGAGTAAGTGAGTATTGTTTTACGCCGCTTTTAACAATATCCAAGCAATATCACGGCAGGGAACACCAGAAATAGGTTTCACACATTGTACCAATGTGGGGAATCGAACCTGGATCTTCGGTGTGATGAGCGAACGCTTCAACCACTAGGCCACCCCTACTTGTAAAACTGAACTGGTTTATATGTTTGCCCTGACCACTTGCTGTATATTTTGCTCAAAATGTGAACACCAACTAAGGTTACAACCAACTAGTGGTTCCTCTGAGTTCATTAACTGTTGCTTACTGTACGCAAACCTACCGTCTAAGGCATTCACAGAGTATCTGATACGGACTAGGCTGTCCAGCTTTGTTCCCAAGTTCATAAATCCGAGGATCTTCAATCTTGATTTCATCAAAGAACTGAAACAGAATTCCATCATTAGTGAGTGAGTGCATTTAGTTTTACGCCAGACTCTGCAATATTCCAGCTATATGGCGGCGGTCCGTAAATAATCAAGTCTGGACCAGACAATCCAATGATCAACAGCATGAGCATCGATCTATGCAGTTGGGATATGATGACATGTGTCGACCAAGTTCCATCATTAGCATCATGTAGTTGAACTGTAACAATCCTCTCAACTCTTTTACAAGCAAGATGAAACTTCGTCCGCCCACACGAGTGCAGGAATTCAAATTGTTCCACTTACTGACAGATCCTCCCCTTCCCCCTTCTGGTCATCGGTAACCTTGTTCATCTCCGGAATGAGAATGTTGAGGGTGTCTTTGGCTAAAATACACAATATTACAGAATGTGAGTGAGCTTTAAGGTCCATCAGGTTTCTTGCGTTATTCATGGGTAGAAAAACCTGAACAAAATGAACTGAATAAAAACGATGACAAGATCACTAAAACTTCAGTTACTACAGTAAACCTTCAAAACTGATAAGTTCAAAAACAGAATGCTACACAGGTATGGCAAATATGATCAAATATTACCAATAACTACACAATTTGTCTTTTCTTTACATCACTTACAGATTGAATAAGTGAGAGGTCTTAACCCCACCTGAGTTGACTATCCATAGAACTTGGTTTTCCTTTAGATGTCAGTTTGATGTGGGACAGATAAATAAACAGGGATTTGAACCCACACTCATCAGTTTCAGGTATCAATAAAGGACATTAAACTTGATAGATTCTAGTACTTTTGTTGGGTTGAGTCCCAGTCTGGATTGGAACCCACACCCTCAGAGTCAGGCACCTAATCGCCAGCATACAAAGTCAGCCGCCTAACCCGCTCTGCTACCGCAACTTCCACAAAAATGGAATTTAACTTATGTTACATAGTAAAGTAGCCCCATTTAGAAACTAACACTCCACTGTTTAGTACTGAAGTCTCAAACCAAATACACAAGGTCATTCTCTGTAGATACAAACAGCACCTTACACCACCAGGCTCTCTTGCCTCAATTCTCTCACTAGTTTCGGGATACACCAGCATCCAGTACGAAATTCATAACCTGCATGGACACTAAGGCTGTGCAATATAACCGGTTTACCGGTATTTACCGGTTCAGACATGAAAACAATACGTATTGCGATACGCTGATCGAAAACCGGTATTTTGACATGCATTCGGAAAACTTCTTAACACTCAGAAACCTTCGGATATGTCCGTTTTTTTAATTGTTCTTTTCCCTGTTTCATTAGTGCCAAATGTTACTTACATTTTTATTTTGTCATGATTAAAGGTTTTTATAAAAGGTTAATCAATCATAGTGATTTTGTTGTGTTTTTGCTTTATAATCAAGCATTAACTCGATTATAAGTACGTTTTGTTAAAAAAATAATCCTTGCAATATATTGCAATACATATCGCAATATACGCTTCCGCATCGCAATATATCGCAATATGAAAATTCTCTGCAATACCCCTAATGGACACAATCAAAAACATGCTTGTCTTCCCTTGTCTTTAAATACTACCCATCAAAAGTTTAGACTCACCTAAAGCACTCACTGTATGTTATGTGTGTATATATATAGTTACATTGAAGATGAAATTCTCTTTAACTTGGGGGAACCAACTGCTAACCTTATGCAGATGAACTGCACGAGGATCATGCATCAAATTGCTGAAGAACATGTGCAAATATCTTGCATGTGAACAGCTGCGTTTTGGTGTAAAGTTTTGTTAAGAATTCGCCAATTTTCACTGTGTTTCATCATTTATTGAACTCATGACAATAATCTTTCCAATATTACGAATATGTCTTGCAAACACATCAGTTCATGTGTAAAGAGTACCTTCAAACAGTGAGGAATATTTTGCAAAATCTAGTTTGGAACAGTTGACAGAACTTAGTGGCTAAATTTACACTAGTGAGTCTAAATTTTTTATGGGTAGTACTGGTATATTTATGAAAATATTGGAAAGGTGATGATTTATAAGAAATATAAAACAAAAATTAACCATTATATCACATCATGGAAGTTACATTTGACATGATTTAACTGATGCTTAATTCTGACTCTCTTTTGACAGACAGTTTCGTGTCACTGTTTTAGTTGGCTTGACAATTGTGACAAAGGTAAGGCTAGTTTAAACCATATTTGCAGAAAATGAATAGTATAAAAAAGGAATTCAAATACAATTTAAGTCTATACCACAAAATAGATCTTGGAATAGTTATTTCAGATGAAATACAAAGTTTACTGATAACATCAGTGGCTACTGCATGCCAGCTGACAACGCCAGTGGAACCTGAAAGTGACACAGCTAGATAAGGGTCTGCAAGGTCTTCTACCCTGTGCATAAGGCGACCCCTTCAAACACCTGTAATTTCAGGTTGGAAATACTTGCCTCATACACAACATAGATATGTAAATTGAAACTCTACACTGTGAGTTTCTCAGATATATAACATGCATAACTGCTAATCCTTCACTTCTGTGATGAAACAACAAACTCACCAGCTTCGAGTTTAGCGGCTTTCTTACTGGATGCATAGCCGACTCCATACTCCACATCATTTATCACAACTGTAGCACTGTAGGGAGTTAGGGCACTTTCTGCAAACAAGAGTGAGTGAGTGAGTGAGTGAGTGAGTGAGTGAGTGAGTGAGTGAGTGAGTGAGTGAGTGAGTGAGTGAGTGAGTGAGTGAGTGAGTGAGTGAGTGAGTGAGTGAGTGAGTGAGTGAGTGAGTGAGTGAGTGAGTGAGACTCCATAATCCACATCATTTATCACAAATGTAGCACTGTAGGGTGTTAGGGCACTTTCTGCAAACAAGAGTGAGTGAGTGAGTGAGACTCCATACTCCACATCATTTATCACAACTGTAGCACTGTAGGGAGTTAGGGCACTTTCTGCAAACAAGAGTGAGTGAGTGAGACTCCATACTCCACATCATTTATCACAACTGTAGCACTGTAGGGAGTTAGGGCACTTTCTGCAAACAAGAGTGAGTGAGTGAGTGAGACTCCATACTCCACATCATTTATCACAACTGTAGCACTGTAGGGAGTTAGGGCACTTTCTGCAAACAAGAGTGAGTGAGTGAGACTCCATACTCCACATCATTTATCACAACTGTAGCACTGTAGGGAGTTAGGGCAATTTCTGCTAACAAGATGGTTTATGGTTTATACTGCTTCAAACTTCGCAGAGAACAACATTGCTATATATTTTGCATTTTGCAATCAATTGATACACACGATAATTTGAGCGATATGTCATGTTAACTTACCTTCTATGATTTTTTTCATGATATTAACAGATAACAAAACATCAGAAGTCATTTAAAGTATATTCATTTCACTGTTTTTCATGTTTGCAGATCCATGACTCAACAACAAAATTAACTACCTAATGATGATTTGTTAATACAGAAAGTTTTATGCAGAATGGGGTTGTCCAGATTAATCATTTAATGAGATTCCACTTTCTAAAAACGAAAACAATATTTTCATCATATCTTAATTCTGCTGACTGACACTCATGATGTCAATCACTGGACTGTCTGGTCCAGACTTGATTACAATGATAAAGCTGGAAAAGTGTAGCATTAAACAACAATCAAAAAACAGACATGTCTGATATACAGAATACACTTACCCATTTCTTTGAAAATATATCTTGGCTGGACTCGCATGGTGTGTTGCACATACTCATGAAGGATACACACGTATGACTTCCCTGAGGGATTGAGGAGAAATTCTGAAATACAAAACAAGTCAAGTCACATGTGAAGGTGAGTCATGGTAGTACTGTAACTTCAGCAGTACATATGTTCAAAATTATGGGAGTCCTTGTGCCCTTGGTGTTTGCTCCCATTTTTCATCCTTGGGAACTTTAACATTGAGCATAAGGGCAAAGATAAAGACCTACAGACTTTCAATGAATAATTTCACCTCTGCTAATTCAACACTATGTGGTATGTGTCATTGTTGGAAACGCAAAGTTTTTTTATTTTATTCAGAAATGCAAAACTACCAAAAGGCACCAGACATCTTTATGTTCCACTTTGGTGAAGAAATATTGAACGGTTTTATTACTTTTAAAGTTCTGCTCCGGAAAAGACGAATGTGCACGGACGGACAGAGGGATGGAGTCCAAAATAATACCCCCCGGCAAAACTAGTTGCGAGGGATAAAAATAAGGTAATTGGTTTAAATTTTTTTGCAAAACATACCCTCATCATACAATAACTTTATCTTATTCAATTCACTTGCACAGCAACAGTTTCAGACAAATCATTAAATTTTGCAAGTAATCGGTATCAACGGAACAGCATGAACCTGATCAGAGTTGTCTACCCTGGCAAGTGTTAGGGTTTAACATAGAGGATGAAAACCACCTCGTATACATTGACTGAGAATGTACACTCAGGGGAGAGGTCCTCAGAATGTATAAAGTTACCTCCCTTGCCCTTTCCTTTTTAACAGTTTGATAGTAAGTAAAACTGCAATTGAAAAATCAAGGGCAAATATTTTGCTATCACAAGAACTAAGGCAATGAATGAAAATATAGAGGAAACTAAGAGAATGATCATAAAATATCTATTTCTGGTTGTACTTGAAAATGTGAATCTTAAAAATATTGGCTTTATAATGTGTGCCTCCATAGCCTTGTTATTCACTGATAAGACTACAGATATGAAGGTTTCAATTTTGATCCACTGAAACAAAAAGACATTTGATGTTTGACACTACATTATTCCCCACATTTCCACACATAGATTGTGTTTAAACGGAAAAACTTGACCAACAACAAAAAGGAAGAACAAATCAGAAGATACTATTGCAAATTTTGTCCAGGTCTAAACACCACTTGCTGGAAGTTTGACTTTGAGAAGTCAAGGAAGGACATGTTTTGAATGTTCCCGATTTGAGATTTATTTTGCTGACAACCACTATCTATGTAAGAGCATCACAGGGAAATGTGAGGAATGATTAATAAACTAATCTTGAACTGGTTTTCCATCAGCTCATGTATCGCATTGAAAAAAACGATGAATATTCTCAGAATTTCGATCAAGTCTTACCTTTCCTTTTGGTGGACTTGAAATCTCCAGGTTTGAGTTGGACGTTTAAGGAACAAGTGATGAGCTTTGTGTTGGGAGGCTGAAATCAAGAACACAAATCGTTCCAAAGGTTCTTCAGGGGCATCCATTATTAGGAAACGTCCGTTAACAGATATATATGTCAGTTTTGGTAGAGAAGTACATTTAGATCCAATGTTTGTGCTGCTGCTAATCACAACACACAGTTCCTTCTGGTAAAAATCTTATATTAGGATCCTGTGAGTGAGTGAGTGAGTGAGTTGAGTTTTACGCCTCACTCAGCAATATTCCAGCTATATGGCGGCGGTCTGTAAATAATTGTAATTACAATTGGGAACCGATGACATGTGTCAACCCAGACAGCGAGCCTGACCACCCGATCCCGTTAGTCGCCTCTTCGACAAGCATGAGTTACTGAAGGTTCATTCTAACCCGGACCATCACAGGTATAGGATCCTGTAAATTATCTAACTACTCTACTTTTATGCTTAACTCTGAACACTGATTTCAGTTTACACCTTGTACCCAGGGGCAGATAAAGCTTTTTGAGAAAGGGGAGATGCACAGTTCATTTTCAACCGTATTCAATGGTCATTTAATAAACTGTCATGACAAAAGTGGGTACCCCTGCAAAAACACACATGCATGCACGCAAGCAAGCACGCACACACACACACACACTCAGCAGATTCTTACCAGTTCTGGACGGGATTGTTTTTTCATCTGAGTCATGTGTCTACGTCGGTCTCGCCACGTTCTGAAAACATCAAGATTTGTGTCCTACATGGAAATGTACAGCATCTACTGCTCCAACAGGAACACCAACACGTATTTCACCATGTTACTAGAGTAATCATCTAAAAGACTGACTGAGTTTGGTTTTACGACGCTCTTAGCAATATTCCAGCAACATCACGGCAGGGGACACAAGAAATGGGCTTCACACACTGTACCCATGTGGGGATTCGAACCCGGGTCTTCGGCGTGACGAGCCAACGCTTTAACCACTAGGCTACCCCACCGCCCCTCATCTAAAAGAAATATGTACTAACACCTTAACATTAATTGCTTCCTGAAATGTACCAATTCCATGGTAATACTAGATGCAGTGCAGGGAGGTAGTACTGGGAGAGTTATGGTAAAGATCAACAGTGAGTTGACTAGGATTCTGGAGTGAGTGAGTGAGTGAGTTTAGTTTTACGCCACACTCAGCAATATTCCAGCTATATGGCGGCGGTCTGTAATTAATCAAGTCTGGGCCAGACAATCCAGTGATCAATAGCATGAGCATCGATCTGCGCAATTGGGAACCGATGACATGTGTCAACCAAGCCAGCGAGCCTGACCACCCGATCCTGTTAGTCGCCTCTTACGACAAGCATGGGTTACTGAAGATCAATTCTAATCCGGATCTTCACGGGTCAGGATTCTGAAGTGACCTCAGGAAGCAGGTTGAATTACATGTACTCTTTTTCTAGAGGGCAGGGATAGTTCAGTAAAGAATTATAACTGATTTTTCTAGGATTCTGAAGTAAGACCCTTTCATAGGTAACTTGGGATAAATAAAATATCAATAGCTAAACCTGTAGAGATTTAGCTAAACCTGTAGAGATTTCCAATTCTTTGAAGAGAATCTTCCTTGGGTACATATATGCATTTTCTGCGACTGAAAATGTCATGTGACAGTTGTAACAATGTTTTAATAAAAGATTGTACAACAAATAAAAAAGCCTTTTTATTTACTATACGGCCCCCTATCACGTGGAGTTACCTTTCCACCACGCATGCGCGGTCAACCAGGTAAGCAGCCTAGCCCGAATCATCATTCCTTCTACTGACAAACCATCAGTGAACAGAATTGCGGGGAGGTGGGCGGCCCTACCCCAAGGAAGATTCTCTTCAAAGAATTGGAAACCTCTACAGGTTTAGCTAATTCTTTTTCATAGAGATCTTCCTTGGGATACATATATGCATAAACACAGACTCCCAAAGACCGAAGGCCAGGGAGGTGGGAATTCTGTTACCGTGACAATAATGTAATTTTTAGAGTAAAATTGATATTTTATACTTATCCTGACTCATGCTCTTTTGCTTGTCTTCTTCTTCTTGCGAACACAGTGGAACACCTGTATCTCCTTATTTGAAGCTCCCTTCAAAATAAAATCACTAATTGGTACTCACCACGAGTTGTCTCCCTTTATCTCCCCTGGCGGGAAAAGGTGTCGCCACCTCCAGCCCATGTGCTTCACTCTCTCCTGATTTTGCGAGCCCAACACTTGGACTTACAGGGAAATCCAAAGTGTTATGTGGGGAGGATGGGAGGGCTAACCTCATGAGTCAGGATAAGTATAAAATATCAATTTTACTCTAAAAATTACATATTTTTCCTTATCCTGACTCATGCTCTTTTGCTTGTAGTATCCTACGGAAACGGAGGTGGGATTAACAGAATACTTTGGATTTATAATTAGTGATTTTGTATAGATATACTGTAATATCCCCTACGGGAACTTCATGAAGGCTTAGATTTAGGATGTTTCCTGTATAACAAAAACCATAGGTTATATAATGCCATAAAAGGGGAATTACATTGCGAATATATTGAACATTACATATAATATAATATATATATATATAGGTGACTCTGATAGAGGCACTGAAATGAATATATCAAAGTATATGCTTAAGGTTGAATAACTTAAGCTGAACATATATACATAGCCCTAAAACTCCATAGAGTTATAAGCTAGATAAGTATGTATAATCATACATATTAATCTTGTGAGGGTAATATTTAACGCCTACGAGGGACTGTCAGTTGCTGAGCGAGGACCAGTGGTCCGAAATGGTGAATGCCCGAGACATCTTCTGTAGTGATGTCTCTCAGGTAGTGATTTGCAAATACCATGTTAGATTTCCAATAGCATCCTTCCATAATCGTGTTCAAGGAACAGTTACCGTGTAGGGCGAGGGTGGAGGCCAGTGCCCTGATCTCATGTGGATTTGATGCTGTTGGTGGGTCCAAGCCTGCTGCCTTGTAGGCACGGAGAATGACAGTCCTTATCCAAATAGATATTGTAGTCCGTGACACTTCTGTTTGATTCAGTAGGCGATAAGGGGATGAATAAACGCTTTGAGAAATCTTCTCCTTGTTTTGGATGGAAATCAGTAAATAAACTTTAAAGCTCTTACTGGACACAGTGATAAGTCTTGTGTATCTTGTGATCCGAGAATAGAGGATAGCGCCGGGATGTGGAATAATCTGTCTGGTTGACCTGGCAGTTGATTTTTAGCGATGAAATCCCATCTTAATCCGAGGTGCGCTATGTTATGATTGTCATCAAACTGTATCCTCTCGTAATCCAGAGCGTGAATTTCAGACATTCTTGCTGCCGTATTAGAGATAGCAAAAACAGTGTTTTCTGTGAGAGAAATTCAAAGTTTGTCGATTCCAATGGTTCATAAACCTCACTCGTGAGGTGTTGCAACACTATATTCAGATCCCAAGCTGGGGCTGGAACTTCCGCTTTGGTCCTCCAATCGGAATGCTCGTAGTAAGGCCAGTAACTCTGGAGATCTTGTCAATTTACTACCTGTTCTCATGGTGATTACAGAACTAAAGCTGCAAGATATGTTGATATCGTTGAACCTTTTAAATGTTTGTTTTACGCAGGTTACACAAATAGTCTGCCACCTGAGGTTGTGGACTTTTCTTGCTGTAAAACCTTTCTTTGCTGCATAATTTTCGAAACTGTGCCACTTGTCGTCGTATTGCCATTCTGAGAGTTGAGTAACGTAAAGGCAAGCGTGACTGCTTTTGCCGCCCTGGCAGAATATCCTCTCTTGTTTAAACACATTTGTATACAGTCCATAATGCAGTTGGAACATTGCTGGGTTTCGCACTTGTTTGGTGTGAGGATGAATTAACAGGTTTGCGGCTTGGGTAGCTCCAGTGTTGGTTGACCGATTTCTTGAATTAGTATGGAAACCACGCTCTGGCCGCCAGTAGGGCCGACCAAAGTGAGTTGTAGGCTCTGTGTTTGTCTGATTTTCTGTAAAACTTGAGGTATTATTGCTGGCGGCGGAAACGCTGCACGCATTGAGGCCTTCCATGATAGACTTAGAGTCCGCTGCCCAAAGCCTGAGGGTCTGGGACTGGTGACACGCGTCGTCGGTAGCTGATTGTTGAATCGCGCGGCTTAAAAGGTCTATTAGCGGTGCTCCTAATTGCTTGATTATCTGTGCAAATATTTCCCTGTTGATCATCCACTCTGTTGGTGATGGTAGATGAGGCCGAGAGAGCCGCCTGCTAGTACATTTCTGGCTCGGGAATGTGCACTGCTCTGACATGTAGATTTAGATCTTGTATTAAATCGAACAGTTGAAAGCTGAGGTTCAAAAGGTTCATCGATCTCGCTTGAGCCTTGCCTGTTTATGTAGACCGCCACTGTCGAATTGTCTGTATGAATCATTAGGTGTGCATTTTGTAGAAATGTACTCCAATGTAGAATGGCGTTGATTACAGCTTTCATTTCTAGACTGTTTATATGGAGTTTGCATTCTTGCTGATTCCATAATCCTGATATCGTGTGGTTGGTGAGATGAGCTCCCCAACCTTGGAGTGACGCGTCTACATACAGATGGGTTTTGTATTCCTGCTCTGCTAAACAAATCCCTTCGCAGACATTCGATTTCTTGGTCCACCATAGTAGATGAGGTCTGAGATGTTTCGGTAGACTGAATGGTTGTACATCGTTGAGATGTGCGTTGATGAGGACCTGTAGGGGACGTAACTGTAACCTGCCTGTGACAGTCATGTCTTGGGCTGATGTGAGAAGACCTAGTAGGCTCTGCCATTGTCGAAGTGGTAACGGAGAGAGTAGAGCTGGTGGAGTGGTCTGTTGTATCTTGAGCCAACGGTCTTCTGGTACAACAATACGGTTGCGATTTGTGATGAATCGAATACCTAGGAATTGCAGGTCTTGCGATGGTACTAGGTCCGACTTGCGTAAGTTTACTAACCATCCTAGTTGTGTTAGTAGCTTTATGATGTAATTTAACTGTAGTTTGAGACGCTGTGGATCTTGATCTACTTGTATCCCGTCGTCGAGGTAAAACGCACTGCGTAGTCCTTGATGATGTAGAAAATTGATAATCGGTTTCGCGGATCCTCGTGGAATAGCCAGGGGCTGATGATATTCGAATGGGAGTACTTTCCACTGGTAATGTAGCCCTTCTAGAGTAAACCGTAGGTATTTCCTGGAATCGGGATGAATGGGGATGTGCAGGTAGGCATCCTGTAGATCTATGCTGCCCATGTAGTCCATAGGGATCTAATCATCTGGCGTAACTGAGGTAAATGTATCATGCCAAACTTCGGAGGTTTGCGTAGATAATTCTTGTTGAAAAAGCTCATGTTGTAGATGAGTCTGTATTTCTCCTCGGGGAGTTTTTCTTGGGAACTAGGAAAACTGGGGAGTAGAAACCTGGTTCATAACGCTTGCTTGATCTATTACTTCTATGGCCTGTTTGGATAGGAGTGATGAAACAGCCTCTCTTATCTTTGGTAGTTGTTGCTTTTGTAAATCGAACCTGGGGGTTTGATTGTCAGCGGAGGCTTGGCCTGTAGTGGGATACTGAAATCTGCGTGTTGAAGAATGTTGGAAACGTCACGGGTCTTGCAATATTCCCCAGTTTTCCCAGTGTAGTTGGAGGCGCCCACCCACTTGTGCTGGCTGTACTGGAACGGCTGGGGTG